AGTGAGACTCCAACTCAAAAAAAAAAGAACTTGAAAGACCAAACTGTTTACAAGTAACTGTGTCCCAGAATAAAAATCAATATATTTACAGGGATACAAAAATATTCAGCACCTAATAAGTGAAACTTACAATGTCTGGCATCCAATCAACAATTACCCAGCCTGCAAACAACAACAACAAACAAACAAACAAAAAACCCAGAAAAATAAAACTCATCATGAAGTGAGAAATCAATCAAAACTGACCCAGAAATGACAATAATGGTAGAATAAGATGAAGACATTAAAACAGATATTAGAACTGCATTGCATATGTTCTAGAAGTTGGAGGAAAGAGTGAACAAGTTAAGTAGAAACATGAAATATAAATAATATTTAAAAGATCCCAATTGAACATCTAAGGATTAAGAATTATAATGTCTGAAATGAAAAATATGCCAGATGGGGTTAATAGAAGATTAGACATTGCAGGAAAAAATAATAGTTGTTCCTGAAAACAGCAAAAGAAACCATTTAAAATGAAATACAGAGAGAATAGTGAAAAATTTAACAGAGCATTGATTGTTGTGACAACCATAATGAGAATCATTTTAAATAGAAATTGTCTTAGTCCTTGAATTACATGACAGAGATTGTCAGAGTAGATTTAAAAAGCAAGACTGAGGCTCCAATGTCCTAATAACCACAAATACAAGCTGAGAAAGGGCCTCTTTTGCTAAAAATTACCATATCTAAGTATCACTAAGACAGTGCCCACTTAACTCTAAGTCAGGTAGAAGGTCTTTATGCCCACCACTGTAGGAGATAAATGGGGACACTGGCACACTGAGGTGTCTAGAGAAATCTGAAGTGATCAGAGTCAGTGCAGCATGCAGAACTGAGGGGAGGGCATGGCTCACATAGGAGAGAAATGGAGTGGAGCTGTTACATAGTTTGGATACTACTCCCAGCAGCTGAAGGGAATCTGAGGAACTTGGGTTCTGCATGTGCAAGTGAAAACAGGAAACTATAAAACAGAGCTCACCTGCTCTTTACCGTGTTTGGGATCCACGATGGCCCTGAAAATTATCATCTCTTTTCTACCAATGAATATAGTAAACACTAAGTAATTATCATGGTAATAACTACTAAAGTTATATTACCAGCTAGAGGATCCAGAAGTAATGTGAAATTCATTATTCTTGTTTGTTGCTTTTCAACAAGTTTTCCTCAAGTTCTTCACTTTTAATTTGACACGAGTTTATTTCCTCTTTTAAAAATTAAACTTTAATATAATTACAAACTAAGTAATGCTAAGTTAGGAAAAAATAAGAACTTAAAAGTAACTGATGCTCATGTGATCCTAAGAAAGAAAACAAGGTGTAGAAAATAAGATTTTTAAATTTTTTAAATTATTTTTCTGTTCCAAAGCAACAACAAAAACCACTTTAGAATGCATTACATCATAATTAGAAACACTAAAGCTTTCTTCATTTTTGAAAAAAAAAGATTATTAATGGGCAAACATCTGACAATTTCTCTCTTCATATGAAGTTTATTTTTACTAAATGAAAAATATTTGCCGGGCATGGTAAGTCACGCCTGTAATCCTAGCACTTTGGGAGGCTGAGGTAAGAGTATTGCCTGAGCCCAGGAGTTCGAGATCAGCCTGGGAAGCATGGTGAGACTTCAAATCTACAATAGATTTTTAAAAATTAGCCGGGTGTGGTGGCACGTGCCTGTAATCCCAGCTACTTTGAAGGCTAAGGTGGAAGGATCGCCTGAGCCCAGCAGGTCAAGGCTGTGGTAGTTCTAATTGTGCTACTGCATTCCAGCCTGAGCAACAGAGTGAGACTCTGACTCAAAAATTTAAAAAAGAAAAGAAAATATTTTCCATCAGCTACAAGGGAAAGAGTATATAATTTCTAAACATGATAATTGTAACTTTTCAAATAATGTCTGGAAATTTTTTTTAAAATTAAGATTTTCAAATTTTAGGAATGTCTTATTTGGTTATGTATATTTATATCACTTAAAAAGCATTCTGACTAGTTATACATGATAACAACTACAGAGCATTCTATCTGTTTGAAAATGTAAAGATCAAATCTTTCTAAATAAAATTAGTATGTTTACTACATGATATAGGTGATGTCAGGAAAGAAGACAGAGTATACATGGAATTTTGTCAATTTCACATATGTAATCCAATCATTTTTCTGTTCTGAGACAATGTTTTTTTTTTTGTTTTTTGTTTTTTTTTTTTTTTGAGTTGGAGTCTCACTCAGTTACCCAGACTGGAGTGCAGTGGCCGCTCCCGGCCACCGCAGCCTCGACCTGCTGGGCTCCGGCGATCCTTCCGCCTCTGCCTTCCGAGTAGCCGGAATTACAGGTACTCGCCACCACGCCCAGCTAATATTTTGATTTATTGTAGAGATGAGGTCTCGCTGCCCAGGCGGGTCTCGAACCTGCGGGCTCAGGCAAACCACTCACCTCAGCCTCCCAAAGTCGCGGGATTACAGGCTGAGCCACCGAGCCCAGCACTCATAGAAACTTTTAAAGCATGGGAGAATTTTTTTAAAAACCCAAGCCCATAATTATACAAAAATGTTAATTATTATGTATTATTTTATATAAATTATAAATGTGACATCTAATAACTTGTAGTTACATTATTAAATGAATTATATTATTAAATATCTACCATATTAGGCACTATGCTGGAAACTGAGCTCCAGGGCAATTAATACAAAATCATTGTGAAAGAGCACAGGTTTACAGAGAAATGATAAATTCATAATTATTATAAATGTATTAATAGTAAATTCATGATAAGGCATTAGTTTAATAGGATACTTAGAAAGAAAATAAAACAATATTGGTTTAAATATAGACATACATTGCTTGTCTAACATAGTCCAGTTTTAGGAATGTAATATTTTGGAAACATATATTCATTGTGGAATCAAATAAGTAAGGTAATTTAGATCATGATGTTTGTAAAATAGTTTAATTACTGTCAGTGTTTCTCTGTGTGTATGTTGTCAAAACTCACATGCATGAGAATCCCTTGGGGAACTGCCAAAACAGTAGTTCTTGATCAGGTGATTCAGGTGGTGACAATCCTGGATGGGAATGGGAGGGACATCCAAGTATCAGCATTTTTAACGTTTCCTCTTAGTGATTTTGATGCAAGTAAGGGATCTGTGTTTCCCTAAATACTAACATATACAAGGTTTAAAAGAGAAGTTTGCAGATTCTGGGTCAGAGACTTTCCTTGCTGTTTCTTTGGAAATTAAATGCAATACTTTCCAGATAAGTAGTTACTGGCCTTAGGCCATTTAGTTAAAAGTTATCAGGATCAGTATTGAGCTGGGTTTCTAACTTTATTGTAGTTAATCATCAATCAAAATAATAATTTAATATCTACTATGTTAGGCACTGCACTAGAAACTGAGTTCCAAAAATGATTAAGATAAAATTATTGTCTAGTGAAGGACATACACTCACATGGAAATCACAATGCCAAATACTTAATATAGTTTTTAAGAATTTACAATGTAGTTCCAGGTGTGGATGAGATGGAGCTGGGAAGGAAAATTTTTTTTAGCTTCAAGGAAAATGTGTTCCCCCAATGTAATTTACACGTCTGGACAAGTCTGTTAAACTGAGGGGGCAAGCCTGCCAAGAGTCTTCTTTGAGAAAATCTACACCAATGGTAGAAACTCAGGTGCCAACAAAACCTTCAGTCTGTTTGGGTTCTGAAGGTTTGCATTATTACAATTCTGGGCACATCCTGGTGAAACACCTAGATGTATTTCCTGAGCTAGGCCCCAGTACATTTACATTCTTGTCTGAGTTCTTTGAAGAAGAGAGGCATAAAATAAAACCAGAAAGAGCTACTTTGCTAAGGACCAACGTAAGCTCAATAGCCGTGGGAGTTGTACTCAGCCAGAAAAATAAAACTCTTAAGTTATAAAGGTATTCTCCACACTTTTATAGATGTCAAAGAGGGAGGTTTAGCTAACCAGGGACTCCAGAGAAATCAGTGGGGTCTTGTCACCTTGAGGACCCTAGCATGTCATCAACAGGAACAGAAACAGGATCCAGCAGAAGAGAAATTATGGCCAACTAATATGCTAGTAATCAGGGGAGCAGGATTGCAAATAACAGAAACGACAGGAGGGAATCCACCTATTTTTGCTATCTGGATGTGTGAGCAGGTTGAGAACTCCTTCCAGTCCTCCCTAATTACCTGATGGGGGCCGGGATTCTGATAAATGCTGGGGAGTTGGACAGAAGCCAGCCCAAAACAGTTTCACACTTCATCAGTTCCACTCAGCAGCCCTGTAAGACAAGCATTGTTCCCCATTTCACAGACGAGAAAATGCACTCTTTAAAGGAATATATCTGTAATAAAAGTAGGGCTCATTATTCCAGTTAAAACTATAAGATGCTTAAGGTTTACTCGTTAATTTGCTGAGTCAAGAATTGTTATGTATCTACACTGTATTCCTAGACTCATTGAAGAATTATTTTCACTGCTTCTAAAATTCCAGATAGTAAAAGGAAAAGATGTCATGTATCCTCTTACCACACGGAAATGTGCCCCAATTAACACTCTGGTGTATTTAATTTCAATTTTTTTGGTTCATGTTAAATATAAGTATACATGTTTTGTTGTTGTAGCTGTTGTTGTTTTTGAGTTGGAATATCACTCTGTCACCCAGGCTGGAGTGCAGTGGCACGCCCACTGCCACTGCTGCCTCGACCTTCTGTGCTCAGGCGATCCTTCTGCCTCAGCCTTCCAAGTAGCCAGATCTACAGGCACACGCTACACCTGGCTAATTTTTTGATTTATTGTAGAGACAAGGTCTCACCAAATTGCCCAGGCTGGTCTCGAACCTGTGGGTGCAGGAAATCCTCTCGTTCTCTGCCTCCCAAAGTGCTGGAATTACAAACGTGAGCCACCACGCCCGGTATATATGGTTTTTTAAATGAGACAATAATAAATGTATAAATTGCTTTTTAACTGCTTTATTAACTTTACATTTTTCCATGCAAATGGGTGAAATTCTACTGCTGACAGAAACTTAGACTGGGTGCGAAGGCAATCTCCAATTAGAAGCTGGCAACACAAGATTCACCTGACACATGGAAATAACACAATGTTCACAGCAAACGGATCAGTAAAGGCATATCAGGGAAATGCAAGGAAAAAGAAAACAGTGGTAATCACAGTATTAATCTCAAGGAAAATGAAAGGAGTCAAGGCATAAGGCAAAATTCATCATGATGGTCATGGTGATTAGAGAGCTCTCCCATAAGGATACGCAGACAATTCCTCAACTGCAGCTCCCTAAGTTTTCTCCTGATTTCTCTCATCTCCTCCATGAACATTTCCATATCATCTCCATCTCCACCCATCCCTTCATTGACCTGCCTATTGGGTATGGCCCATCGAAAATTAGGGGCAAGTCGGCGAGCCTGTCCCCGTCTATTATTTCCTACAGGCTGGTGGCCTTCGCCTCCTCCCAGAGGGCGGTCTTCCTCTCCATTCTGCATGGGCTGCTCCATTTCTTCGTTTTCCTGGTGAACATTTGCCATGATGAGAACTTTGTTTGTTGAACACAAATAAGACAAAGGAAAGGAGAGAAACTGAATGCTCGGTGCACTGACCAGCAGGATTCAGAGTCCTGCTGTCAGAGGTTTTCAAAATGTCATTTTTTTCCCACCTTAGAAGTTTCGTGCGCCCTCTAGGGAGTCTTCAGTTCGAGCCCCTCCCTCCAGCTCCCTCCTCTTACCTCCCTTCCCCCCAAACCCACCATTTTTCCTTTCCCAGGATTCTTTCCCAGAGCTCTGCGGGCCCCAAAATGGAGGACGGGATGAGGTGGGGGATGGGGCGAAGGGGGGCTGGGGTCTCAGACTGGCTTTCACACATTCCTCCCTCCGCCCCGAACAGGGTCCCTCGCACCGACCTGGGCCTATCCTTGCAGCTCCTCCTCCTCCT